CAACACAGCGTTTCCTGCAGAGTTCAGCAGAATAGTCAGTCACATGTTGAATATGTTATAGCAGGGTAACCCTTTATTTTACAGTGTCATTGTTACATACTGTATGTTGAATGTAGCCTACTTACCACAGTGATAAGAGTAAATTATGCTGAATTACATGTTAATTATTATTACTCAGTACTTATATATTTACACTGTAACAATGACTCCTTAAACTAAAGTGTAATCCAGAGCAGTTATTGAATTAACAATTTGAATTGATTCAAACTTTCAAAATTGATTCATTCAAAGAACCGACTCTGAATCTTTTTTTAAAATAAATAAGTCATTATTGGTCCCAATTAATATTAGGTCGGTGTCTTTAACTATACTGTACTTGCATAAAAGTAAATTGTTAGGTGCAATGTACTTTTTGTGTTCATGTTGTACAGCAAAACACTTGCTGTTATTTAGGTTTGATGCGGATTAGGGTAGGCACAAGTTTTGTGGTATGGTTAAGTTTAAGGGTGGATTGTAAGGGAAGAGTAAACAGTGTAGTTAATATTGATTTAATTACCAAGTTATACAGGTATTAGCCTATTCAAATATAAGTACAATGTCAAAACTAGTGCTGCCCATAGTCAGCCAAATGTTAATCTACGAGAAGAGGTTTAGCCGACCAAATTTTACATAGTCGGTTCGTCACAGAAAATAAAAAGACTCCACAGGAATTAACGAAGTCACGCATTCTGGGAAGGACAGATCGTTAACACTGCTGGTCCATGATGTGATAGGCCTAGTTGTGTTGGGTAGGAAATCTAAATGTTCGCCTATTATTGATCAAACTCAGACATGGTTTACCATTTGAAACGTGTTAGTAGTCTAACGTTAGCCAGTTTACATGGCCGCTCACTCTAACGTTAACCTAGAAGATGAATGTGCGCATATCTAAGTGTTTGTGTGGAAGCATGATATGTTTAACTTTACGTGGAATGAATTTTACAGAGAACGAGGGTATGGGCATTTTTGTCAAGGTTTTATTTCTATTACTGATAGGTCTCAAAAACAAATACTCAGTGGCGGGGCCGATAATGAAAATATTTCAATTAAAACGGTGTTCTTAATCAAAATATGGCTAGTAAAAATAACACTGCTAGATTATCAATAATGCATGACTAAAAAAGAAAGAAACCTCTTCAATTTGAACTTGTATTGCGCTTTTCACAATACAAGAAACAATGAACTAATTAAATTATTACAATTTCTGAACAATGATTACAATATATTAAATAGAATATTATATATATTATACAATATATATATATAATAGAAGAAGATTTTGCATTGGTGTATGTTGGTTCAGAGTTGGCGTCCCTGGCAGCAGTTGGAGTCATCTCTTCACAGGTGTTGGGTCACCAGTCTTCGTAAGAGGCTGGATCCAAACTGGAGCTGGCATGTAGTCTCTTGTTACCTCAGGATGGGCCTCCCGAGATAAAACAGAAGTAAATGGTAAATAATTAGCGTAGCTGCTGTTCAACATTTTGGGCAAAGATAATCATTTGTGCATTTGATCTGGGATAACTGGAGTACAAGGTTTATGAGGTAGCCTATATTATGAATGCTTGGCTAAAGAGATGTCTTAAATCTAGATTCAAACTGGGGTAGTGTCTTAGGGTCTTTCATCATCAGGCATGCAGTTTTAGAGTTTAGGAGCCAAATGTGAAAATGCTCTCCCTCCTTTAGTGGAGATCGATATCCTAGGTACTACAAATATTCAGAGTTTTGTGACCTTAAAGAGCATGATGGAAAATAGGTCGATAAACGATTGGTTAAACACAAATGAGCGCCTAATTAAGGCCTTTTTAAGCAATGCTGAGTTTGTGTATGAAAAATATTCATATTTATAACTTTATAAAGTAAAGAGATTTCAATTAATTCCAATGGAAGTTGTGCAAGCGTGAAGCTTAACTTCCATAGTAATAAACTGAAAATGCTTCCACTGCTCTGCGCCAGTGGACCCGAATTAGCGCCAATTCGGGCCGGCAATTTATTGAATGTTGGGTTCATTATTATTCTTAGTGAAAAACACAACTAACCATTTGCAGGTTCTCTATTAGCATTGGGTTTAAATGCAAAATATTGCCAAGTATGTGATTTTACATTTCACTTTGAAACCAAATCTTCCGTCTTGTCAGTCAGCTCGCCTCACTCTCGTCACGTGATAAATTAAATCTAACTCATGCTGCTAGACTGTGCTGCGACTCTCATTCAGATCACGCTGATGAGTGGATATGCTCATTTTTTAATTGTAGTGTCTGTTCTCTAACTGAACTAAATGAGTTTTATTACTATAGAAAATCATCTTTTCAACCACAGTATTGTTTTTTTCTTCGTTTACACAGAATTATTACAGAATTACTGGGATAAAAGTTTATTGTTCATATAAACACGAATAAAATGCATGTAAATCTACGATCATGATCAAAATAGACACCTTTTGTGATTAATTATTCAAATAACGATTGCATTGATTTACATTGTTACATCACTAGATGGTAACAAGTGACTGTAAAAAAAAATTTCAATAAATAATTCCTCCAGCAATGAAACCAGTATTTCTAAATGAGTCATTGAATCATTCATACAAACCTTTTTAGAAAAAGAATTCATTCAAAATAAACATTTTAAATAGACTGCAGCAATTAACATTTTGTCAGAACCTCTGGTAAATTACGTTACTTTGTTTAGTTGCCTGCTCAGAATCATAATCTCTATTTGAACCAAAAAACGTGATTCTCGAATGAGCCAGAATCGGGCGGCTCTCATTCAAACGAACGAACGAACAAACTCTAAAATCTGTGTGTACCAAAAGTGCTTGCATGAAAGCAGTGCACCCATATTGTGTTGGGACTCACAAGTCATGACTTGTTGCAAAATTTACCTACTGGTGCAGTATTTATATTTAAATTTAAATGCCAATTAAAAAATGCATAAAAAATGTATGTTGTTAGTAATGCCTGATAGAGTCAAGTGAGAGAACAGATGCACTTAAGAAGAAAGAGAGAAGTCCATAAGATTTCACATTGTGCTGTAAGGGAACTTTTTGGGAGTTGAAGGCAGGGCAGGAGAGAGAGTGAAAATAGAGAGGAGGGGGAGAGGTGTGGCTGTTGGACATTCCGACTGCTTTTCCGGTAAGGGTTTCCAGCGAGACCATGCCTGGTATGTCGGTCACAACAGACCTGGTCTTGCTTCAAATCACTTTACAAGCGCAGCAGTGCAGTAACCACCGGCCGTCACCTCAGTCTGCATGTGCAGAAACAAATGTATGGCTCTGGTGGTCTCAACATCTGCTTAATTATTTTAAATGCATTTCCGTTCATTATACGCTGCATTCCTTTAGGACAGGACATCACCCAGATGCCCAAAAAAGGTGAACTGTGTTCAGGGTAACTAAGGCAGTTAATTTTTTTTTTTTTTTTTTTTTTGATTTATGACTTGAGCTACATCAGCAAAAGTGAATGTTCTTTTATTATCTTTTTATAAAGCCTTGCTGATGCTGACTTATCAATCTTAAGATTTCTTCAGGCTGGAAGTCCTGCCTGGCCATTTAACTTTCTGTCCTTGAAGTATGCCTGTAGCTAATTCCACTCAGAGCTCAAATAAGAGATATCACTCGATAGCATTTGTTTGCCCATATCTTCTCACACAGATAGACATTTCCAAAGCAGTAACCAGATGGGTTAGTTTTCTTAACTGTTAAATTGTGTTAAGCTACAATTAATTATTAGGGCTCGTCCGAATACCAGTTTGAAGCTTTGGTAGTATAAACATCGAATATTCGAAGCTTCAGAATCTCTATATATTTGTCTGTCCGTTTCCATTTTGATTATTTCAAGAACCGTTATCCAAACGACTTCACAAGAAAGTGCAGTGTTGTATTTGGTGCAATATAGATAGAAAGGCAAGACGCGACACGTTCAGAATTAATAAACTACAGAACGCGCGGCATGCCTCACGCGAGCAGAGTTTATGCTCCGAGAACGGACACTGCAAAACACACACACACACACAGGTCTGTTAAAAAGTGGCGCGCGCAGGGATTCTATGCTCCGAAAACGGACACTGCACTAGTGATACAAACACACACACACACAGGTCTGTTAACTTAACCAATATTTTAAAAGGTTAGTCTAATATTTTTCTCACTAACAAATTACTGACTAAGTAGGGTAGATTTAAATAAAGCGACGCGCCGAAATTTAAATAAAGTAAAACGAAATTGTGACGTGATGTCCCTGTAAAATTTCAAAGTCTCGCTGTAGATTAATTTAGATTGATAGTAATGGGTAAAAAGGATAAGACATTTTGTTTCTATTCTATTAATTTCCGCAACGTCAAAGCAGCTCAAAAAACAAGCTCAGGCATGCACTTCTGTCCATACAAACTTCGCTGTTTTTCGCTCTAGCCGGAGAATACTCCCGTTGCAGGAACAGTTTTAGTAGTCCAAGAAGAAGCAAATATATTTATTAATTAGCTATAACGAAGTTATATGTTAAGTATTATAGAATGAGAACCGTTTCGAGTGGGATGCTAAGTGTCCAAAAAAAAACAAACAAAAAACTAATATTCGAATGTCATATTTTCAAATCGAATACCAACCCGCCGAACGAATATTCGGGTCCAGCCCTATTAATTATATAAAATGCCTGTTATTTCATGTACCAATTCTGATTGTGTGTGTATATGTGTGTGTGTATATATATATATATATATATATGGCCAAATCAATAATGAAATTGCATCAGGTAGAAAGCAACAATTTTAGCTTTAGGTTGACAAAGGTCAAACTAAATAAGAAGTAGCCTATTGTGAAAATGGATGTGATCAATCCATGAATAGAAATGTCTTAAAAATCTTATAAGAAATTTCTAATAAAAACAGACCTAATTTTCCAGGAATATTATTTTCATTGAGGCCATTATTTTAATGTTTTACTCCAAGTGTTTGTGTTTCTGTTTCAGGACTCCATGAATGCCCTGGTTTTAGATCTGGACTCTCCGGCCTTACGTAAAAATAAGAACATTGAGACCTTCTTGAACAGATGTGAGTATCTGCTTTTAACAGACGTCAGATTTTCTCTGATTGTTGTTCTGTGTTATTCTGTGGGTAAAGGAAATACTTAATGGTTGCATCATGTTTTACAATGAGGCTGCTTCCTGCTACAATGTCAACAGCATTTATATGAATTGAAATGTTTTGAGTGGCTCTTCCTAATTTAAATCCCTCACTTTAAAACACTGAAGCTCATCACATAAATAATGAACTGTCAGCACATACTAGAGCTGCACGATTCGGGATAAATTGAGGATGGAGATCACGAATGTCCCACGGTTCTGAACATCGAATTTAGGTCTGGCAAAATGTTAATTTCTGCCTTCCGTTTAAAATGTTTAATTTGAATTAATTATTAAAAATTGGTTTAAATGAACGATTCAATGACTTTAATATTCAGTTTTTTGTCATTAAAGATCTTTGATATTTGTTTGAATTCAGTGCCTGTGTGAACGCATCTGTGTCTGTTTGCTCTATTTATGCACTGTTAAACTTTTCACTAATTATCACATTCTGTCCCGATTTTGTTCCTGACTATGCTTGTTGTCATGGAGACCATAGGGCTGTACGGATGTTATAATGTGTGGTTTGGATGAGAGAGTGACTCAACGGTCCTCTCATCCAGACTGCGTACCCTCTCTACTGGCCTTTGATTACTGTCATTCCTGATGTTGATGTCGATGTCCTCAATATTTTAATGAGTAGCTACTCAATTTTACAATACTGAAAATGTGTGTGAGGGTATTTTTGTTGGGCATTGTTAAAGCTACACTGTGTGATTTTTACCCCCATCTAGCGGTGAAAAGGTATATGGTCATCCAGTGAATATTAGTTTCTGTTCCACTCAATTCAATTTCATTTTAACTCCTACGGTGGCCAATGTAGTCCAAGATTAACATGGCTTCCAGTTCGACCTCGTCCATGAGTGTTAACCCAAACATAAACGCGAAAGGTGAAGCTTGAATTAACGGGTACTAATGTACTTTCAAGATGGAGGGGCAACATGCCGACCCCTTACCCGTATGTAATTTTCAATGGCATATTATACACTCACGAGAATACTTTATTACTTGAACGAAGTAAATATACTTTAATGAGCACATATATTTTTGAAAGAACTAAGTGTTTTTAGCTAAGAATAAACTAAAAGAGTTACACAGTGTTGCTTTAAGTAGTGGTGAAACATTCTGGGTTTTTCAGTTGCCAATTGCTATATCTAGAAACCATTATGGAAGTAGGCCGATTATAATTCAAATGTATTTATGTATCAGATAATATAATTTAGTATAATTTAATGATGGCAAATGAGAAGTACAGTACACAGAATTTACTCATAAATATTTGAAAACACTTCAGGTTTAAAATGTTTAACTATCATTACCATTTACAGACCCGATGGATAGATCACCAAAAAACAAATTCTAGTTCTTCAATCATGACATGACCAAGGAAATTTGATTTTGATGTGTTCTGTATACAGATGAGAAGGTCATGGCCCAAACAAGAGAGCTGCAGATGAAGCCAGAGGATTTTGACAGAGTGAAGGTGATCGGTAGAGGAGCATTCGGAGAAGTCCAGTTGGTGAGTGTGTTTGTGTGAGATAATTTCAGGACAATATGTATGTGCATTCAAAAGTGTTGATATTAAATCAAAATTTACCCTATTTACTTTGTTAGTGTTTTGTTAGTTGTCTTGTGGTGAACAATTCATCCATGCAAGTTGATTCACACACCAAAAAAACAAACCTTTTTTTGTCTTGTAATCTTTGATCAAAATCTGAAAATGTACTTCCCTGGAATGGCCTTCCTTCTCTGATGGCGTCAGTTTGAACATCCCCTCCAATGATCTCCTGTGAGCTTTGACAGCGAGCTGAATGGAACGCCCACTTTTCTAGATCCAATCCGTTCCTAGCGGGGGGGAAAAAAAACACACCATGGCCTATATTTTTCTCCTTCAATATTCTGTTTCTCTAAGAAAAAACGTCACAACTTCAGGTTTACGGTGGTTCTTCCATTTTTTTTTTGTTTTTTTTTTAAGATAACTTACAAGAATAAATATGTTAAAGGTTTTAAAAGCTGCAGTCCGCAACTTTTTGGGGTTAAAAATGATCCAAAATACATAACCAGCCAGTGTTCAAAACTATCTGCTTGCCTTAGCTTGATTAAAAACGGTAAGCTTGTAATGATGTTTTTAATTCCAATGGTACTGGTGGATTTCCACAGGCTATATTGCGTGCGAGGATGTTGGAGGTGGAGATTTATAGCCTTTTCTCACAGCACTTGATATAATTTAACTTATCAATTTGATGGCGGATCCAGAAATTTTCAAATGATAATCACCAGTGACAACTGGAGATTCACCTGTTGTAAAATGCAAAAGACTTCGGAGTGGCTTCAGAAAAAAAGAGACTGCAACCGGGCCCATAAAGGATAAAGTATAGCTGCAAGCAGTCATTAACGGGGCCAAGCGCAAGAAGCAGCAACAAATGCCATCATGGGTGGGAGTGGCAGATCAACTGCAGAAAGGAGCAATTAAAGACATTTTTAGAGAATTTTGGTAAAATGGCTGAAAAATCATAACTAAAAGTATGATTTAATGGATTATCACTTTCGACTAGTAGCTGGCGCAGTTACGAAATTGATGTGTTGTGGTCAGAGTGAGGTGACAATGACATACAAAGTTTGGTGTCAATATGTCAAGGCATTGCAGATATAAAGCTTGTATAGTCCTTTTGGACACATGCCTCAAATATGCTGCTGCAATATAAGAAACCGGTTTGGTCTATCAACACAAAATCCATAACTTTTATTCAGCATGGTCTGGAGATGATACGATTCGAATTTGGTGAAAATTAGACAAATGGCCTGGGAAAGCATTTGCTTAAGTACAGCATTTTATGTCACAAATATGTATTGAAGTCAATGGTAATTTCTTGTTTTGTTCTATTATAGCACCACCAAGAGGCAAAATCTAATGGTCTAAATCTAAAAAAATAACTGTTTTAAAGATATTGGCAATTGTTTTTTTTTTAATAGCTAAATCACAATACTGCACAAACCATAAAATGAAACCTAGCATCTATGGTATCTGTGGACTCGGCAATGATTCAGGAACCCAACAAGTTGGGACTCCTGTGAAAATAAATCAACCACACCCAGAGTTATAAGCATTTTAAAATTACATTTTACCACTAGGTGGTACTGTTTCGAAACTTCTCAGTCTCCTTCAGGGAATCGTTCTGATGACCCATACCGAGTTTCGTAACAATTAGTTCATGTGTTCAAAAAATACAGCATTTTAGTACATAATTCAAAATGGCCGACAGCCAAAACGGTCGATCTGGGAAAATTCGATATCAGTCACCCGGCATGGCGCCCTGAATCTAATGAGACCACTATGATATTTGGACAAACCGTTCAGAAGTTATGAGCAAAAAAATGTCGTATCTCGGGACCAGTAGGTGGTGCTGCGCCGAAACGCAACATAGAGCCTCAGGTTATGCTTGTAATGATGTACCAAGTTTGGTCTGAATACAATTAAACGTTGCAGAGAGACAGCCTTAATTGTACGTTCACACCGCCGCCGACTTGAGCGTCAAAGAAGCTCTGGCCGCTCTGTCAGGGACGCTTGTCAAACAGTACGGGGAAGCTTGTTGACGTTTTGGCCGCTTTGAACGCTCTGACGTTGCAGGGAGAATAGAAGTGTCACAACATGAAATGTAATAAACAGAAAAAAACAAGCAATAGATAAAGAAAGGAACCTTTTATAATGACAGCGTTTTTATAACTGTTTTGGTCTCATTTGGTCGGGGAAAAAATAGTTAGCTATTATTATTATTAATTGCGGCCAAATCGTTGTCACCATGAGCAAATTAATTGCATTCCCGCTTTAAAACGAGTATTCGTAAATATTTCAAATAAAAGTTGCGCTCATGCGGTCTATAAGCAAACAACGTCATGCCATAACTGACAGGAAACCTGTAGACAGCCCAGCAACGGCGATTATTGGCTTCTCTTCCATTTACTCAGAACTAATATTTTGGTGGATACGAACATTTACATTGTATGTTTCTTCGGAATCAGCCAGCGTAAAGGACGTCTATATTCCGATTGGTTACTGGCGTTTTGCCGCTGCTTGCCACTGAACCGCGTCACAGCTCATTACCTTAAAGTTGAACTTCTTTCAACTTTCTTTTTGACGCTCAAAATGCCTAAAACACGACGCCGATGGATTTGACGCTCCTTGCAGCTGAGAGAAGCCAGCTTCCATTGAAAATGAATGACTTCCGGCCGCTTTGGAAGCTCAAGTTGGCGGCGGTGTGAACGTACAGTAAGCCTGTTTTCGCAAGCACTACGTAAAATTTGTTTGTGCGTTTATCAAAAACGGTTTGACGAATCAACTTGAATTCCATAACTTTTTGTCGGCACTGCCTGTAGATGATCTGGTGCAATTTTGGGGAAAATCGGACAAACCGTCTAGGACGAGTTCGCAAAAGTAGGTTTTTTTGGACAATTCAAAATGGCGGACATATTTTTATGACGGAAAATGATGTCTGAGGGTGCGATCAAATCGTCATGAGCTCGGGAATATCAGAGGAAAACTTTGTTGATAGGCCTCTACGGTTATATAGTGTGTGTGTATATATATATATATATATATATATATATATATATATAATTCAATCATACATATGCAAAGAATTGTTTAAAGGGCTGTGTTATCATTTTATAAAACTTTTTGTTTTTCTCCAAACCTGTTCTTGAGCTATAAAGTTGTTTAAATTGTGGTCATTTTATGGTTTAGGATGTTACCATAGACATTGTCCTCCTATGCATAACATTATTAATTTTATTTGTGCAGGACAGGTCTTAAAAGCCTTAAATTTGATTATAAAAAGTAAACCCTGCAGGTAACCTGGTAAAATACATTAGAGAGTCTTTTTATGATATAATAAAATTATCAAAACTCAGCAAATGTATAAAAGCACACAAGTCATACTTTTAAATCAATCTCTGTGGCATTAATACAACATTATGCTCCTGTATCCATTCTCATTTTGAAAGCACAATATACATATTAAGGCAAATATGAGCAGGTTTGAATGGTTAACTACACATATTAATTGCAATCATTTCATCTATTAGCTGCCACAATTTAAATAAATGTAGTGTGTAATTGTCTGTCTGTATGTATGTGTTAAGTGAGAACCACTTGCAGTATTTGGTATAACTGTTCAGTGTGCTTCCTGTTAAATGACCCCGTGTAATTGTATATGTACATGTCAGATGTATAAACAATGGAGAGACCATGTGTAGTTTTGTATTGTGTCGTCACTCTGGGTGTGTGTTTTGTGAAAGTCAGGGGAGAGATGCAGTGGGGATGAGTCTGAACAAGCCTGCAGACACAAACAACATGATTACCCAGTATTCTCCTCTGTCAGTTGTCTGACAGGGGCTGTGTGGGTGCGCTGAACCTAAAGCACAACAACAGAGGACCGTGCTTTAAAATGTGGCTGTCTGTGTCTAAGGCAAAACAGCCTCTGACAGAGTGTTCATTGGTGGTATTTTTAAATCATTTTGGGAGCGATGCACAAGATCTGACAGAAATTGCAAATGTTGGTCCATGAGTGTGTTAGCAATGAATTAGCCTAAGTCTCACAGAAGGTATGTGATGTGTTTTTTGTTATGATGTGTTTGTGTAGGTTAGGCATAAGGCCTCTCAGAAAGTGTACGCAATGAAGGTGCTCAGTAAGTTTGAAATGATCAAACGTTCAGATTCTGCCTTCTTCTGGGAGGAACGTGACATCATGGCATTTGCCGACAGCCCATGGGTCGTACAGGTATGATGTGCTGACATTAGTTTTGTTTTGTTTTTTTCTCCTCACATACTTGTCCTGTGTGTGTACGCATGCCTTAAATGTGCAGCAGGGGTTTTTCATACACAAATACTCTCTATTTTTGATATGTGTAAAAAGAATGTGCTCTTTCCAAACATTAAATATCACATGACTATCCAATGTGGGTGTACACTACCATTCTAAAGTTTAGAGTCTGTAAGATTTTTATACTTTAATTCAGGAAGGACACATTTAATTGTTTAAAAGTGACAAAGTCTTTTGCGTTGTTACAAAGAAGCCTAGAAAATGCATTACGGTCTCCACAAAACTGTTTTAAATTTTGATAATAATAATAAATGTTTATTGAGCACCAAATCAGCATATTAGAAATATTTCAGAAATAAATCATGTAATATAAAGAGAATTCAGCTTTGCCATCACAGTAATACATTTTAAAATAAATTAAAAAATTAAAATAGTTAATTTTTAACTAAAAAATAAAAAATTGTTATTTCAATTGTATTAATATCCCCAGCATTGCACTTTTCACAGTATTTCTAATCAAATAAAAGCAGTCATGGTGAAGGCTTCTTTCAAAAACATTTAAAAATTTTTTTAAAGGGATATTCATTTATAGGCTCATTTTACAACTCCCTCAGAGTTAAACAGTTGAGTTTTACCGTTTTCGAATGCATTCAGCCGATTTTCTGATATTTAGAAGAATATCAGTAACCAGACAGTTTCTGGTCTTATTGACTTCCATAGTAGGAAAAAAATATACTATGGAAGTCAATGAGACCAGAATCTGTCTGTTTACTGATATTCTTCTAAATATCAGAAAATCGGCTGAATACATCTGAAAATGGTAAAACTCAACTGTTTAACTCTGAGGGAGTTGTAAAATGAACCTATTTCCAAAAAAAGTGGAGTATCCCTTTAAGAGTCTTAAGAGTAAATTTCTTATTTAAGGGTCAGTGAGTCATTCAGATTTTAAGCTTTCATTCAACAACTATTTTGTTTCATGCGAGTGGTGTTGTTTTTTAATTCGCTAGCTGCTCAAGTTAACATGTTAAAAGTTAAATTATGTGCTATTTTTTTTATTGGACCACAAATATTATGCCAGTGCATCTCTAGCTTGTGCACATACACAATGTCAGACTACAGAGATAAATAAACATATTTTCTTTTTTCCTCCCCTTTCTCCTCTTTTCTTGATTCTTTCTCATCTTCTCCTCAGCTGTGCTGTGCTTTCCAGGATGACCGTTCTCTCTACATGGTAATGGAATACATGCCAGGAGGAGATCTAGTCAATCTCACCAGCACATACGACGTTCCAGAGAAGTGGGCAAAGTTCTACACTGCCGAGGTTGTGTTGGCTTTGGACGCTATTCATTCTATGGGCTTTATTCACCGGGACGTCAAACCAGACAACATGCTGCTGGACCGCAACGGACACCTCAAACTTGCCGACTTTGGGACCTGCATGAAAATGGATGGGGTGAGGGTTCACCAGTTATTGCAATACTAAAAGTTTTGTTGTTCACAGGCTCCGTGAAAACTGCAGGCTCTCTCTGGTCAGCTTCTGACCAAGCATTTCACCCTGAGCGCAGGGATTTCTAGCTCACTCCTGGATGTAATTGCATGATAAATACCTTGAGCACATGCCAGTTCTTGTCCAAACTCAACGCACCAAAGAAAAACCTCTCATTCCTTTATCTCTGAATGAGGAAGACCTCTGGTGGTTTCAGAGGTTTAGGGTCATACTGGGGCTAAAAAGCTGTTTACTGTATGTTGATTAAAATTAAAGGGATCATTCACCTAAACATGAAAATTCTGTCATTAATAGGGTTGGGTATCGAGAATCGAGTATCGATTGGAACCGGGACTAACTTTTCGTTTTTCCCGGAATCGTTCAAAAGTTAAAATTTCGATTCCTAGTTTCGATATTCACAGTCCGCCGAGCGGAAGAAGAAACCGCTGAACAACACCAACGAAGAAGCGTCTACCGGAAGTGTTGGCATAACCGCGAGAGTCGAACATGAGTAGCTTATGTCGGCGGTCCAAAGTGTGGCTTCACTTTTCTAAAAATAACGAAATAGCGGCAAAATGCAAAATTTGTGACAAAAGGAGTATTTGTGACAGAAGGAGTATTTCCTTCCGAAAGGATTATTTCCTTCCGAAAGACCGTTGGTTATCAAGGTTAGCTAAACTTTTTTGACCCTGCCTCTTAAAAGAATCGGAATCGAGAATCGTTAGGAACCGGAATCGAAACAAGGAATCGGAATCAGAATCGTTCAAATTCAAACGATACCCAACCCTAGTCATTAATTATTTTGACATTTATGTTCCTAAAGCGATTGTAAAGCTAATGCATATGAGTTGAGCGTATTAGTCAAAATTTTCTGAAGAGACTCTATCGCTTTAAATGATGAACAGATTGAATTTAGGCTTTTATTCACGTTAACATTGATCAGCGAACATGAACAGAAGCTCAACCAAGTCTGCTTGATGTGCGAGAACAAACCTCTTGCGGAAGCTCATAACACAAGAATTAACCTCATTGGTTCTCGCACTTCATGCTAACATGCTTGAGCTTCTGTTTACCAGAAACTGATGTGTGAGTTGATGAATGTTTATATGTGAATATAAAAGCCTAAATTGAATCTGTTCTTCATATAAAGTGGCTGAGTCTCTTCACTAAACCATACTAAATGGCTCAATTCATATAGATTAATTTTACGATCTCTTTATGAACCTTTTGAAGCGTCAAAGTGTCATTTGTGTAGCTGTCAATGGAGGGACCGAAAGCTCTCAGATTTCATCAAAAATATTTTTGTGTTCTGAAGAGGTTTGGAACGACATGAGGGTAATTAATGACAGATTTTTTTTTTTCCGGGTAAACAAACCCTTTAAAGCTACACTGTGTGATTTTTACCCCCATCTAGCGGTGAAAAGGTATATAACCATCCAGTCAATATTAGTTTTATTGTTCCTCTCAATTCCCATTTTGTTTTAACTCCTACGGTGGCCAATGTAGTCCAAGATTAACATGGCTTCCAGTTCGACCTCGTCCATGAGTGTTAACTCAAATGTAAATGCGAAAGGCGAAGCTTGAATTAATGGGTATGTCCCTCTTTGGCTAATGTACTTTAAAGATGGAGGGGCAACATGGCGACCGACATTAGAACCCCTTACCCGGTTTTTTTTTTAATGCCATATTATACACTCAAAAGAATACTTTATTACTTGAACAAAGTAAATATAGATTAATGAGCACATATATTTTTGAAAGAACTAAGTGTTTTTAGCTAAGAATAAACTAAAAGAGTTACACAGTGTAGCTTTAATATATGCTTACACTTTATTTTGATGGTCCACCAACAGACACTCTACTGATTATAAGTAACATTGCAAATAACATGTCAATTTATTCTACTAACCCAAACCTAACAGTCTACTAATACTCTGAGCGTTAGTTGACAAGTAGTTGCAGACTTACTTATAGTTAGTAGAATGTCTAAAGTGGACTATCGAAGTAGTGTAACCAATATATTTTAGCATTTTAATTTAGAGTTAATTATTTGAATGTATTAATACTAATTTATCAACTTACTTAATAATTTATTGACTTCAAGTCATCCTGTGGCCCCCTTGAAAGTTTGTTGAGCCCTCAGAACCACTGTCCACAAACTACCACCACATCAAACACAAAAGTAGCCTTAAATGTGCAGAACATCATAATTATATGAGTTATTATGAACTTTAATGGAATACATTTGAAATCGTTGTCTGGTTGTTCTGTTAGTCTGCTGAGATCTCTTCTGTATATTATCAGTAATATTTTAACATGTATGCTGTATTAAGTTTGCTGAATTTGTTATTCACCTTTAGCGGTTAAGTTGTAAGTTTTGTCTTTTACATATGAACCACATTACATGTAACTGCATTACACATTAGCTATTCATTCAACAACAATGACCTCTGAGATGGTACTGTAGATACTTCATAGCTACTGTGTCTGCAGGGGCACTGAACTCAAACTAGATGGGCTTAGAATAGAATGTTATGAAATACATCAAATGTTATATAACATACCAGTATATGAATTTCACTTCAAGGACATGTTGTTTGTCCCACATTTTACATATTTGAGCCATTTCTGTCACTTCTATTGGCAGCACCAAACCCCCCCACCCCCGAAAAAATATCCTTGTTGAATTCTGCCCCTGCCCATGAGTGCCAATGCTGGACAAACTGTTTGTGTGATATTACAGTGCCATCTACAGTACAGAAGCAGTACTAAACACTACAAGAAAATGAAGTTGAATATTTTTTTCTTCTATTATTATCTCAGGTTCTACTATTATTAACTACTAATTCACTATTATAGATTGTTTATATTGCTGTGTAGAGTTTATATATATAGATAGATGGCATCCTTTAACCCATAGATTGGTTGATTGATTATAGACGGGGATGGTTCATTGTGACACTGCGGTTGGAACCCCTGATTACATCTCGCCGGAGGTTCTCAAGTCTCAGGGAGGGGATGGATACTACGGACGCGAGTGTGACTGGTGGTCGGTGGGAGTATTTATCTATGAGATGTTGGTTGGTGAGTCAGGAATTCGTGTCTTTGTCTAAATGATAAATCTGTTGTATTGATTTATTAAATGAGATAAATGTGTGTGTGTGTGCGTAGGTGATACACCGTTTTATGCTGATTCTTTGGTGGGGACCTACAGTAAGATTATGGACCATAAGAACTCGCTGAACTTCCCTGATGACGTTGATATCTCTCAAGAAGCCAAAAACATCATCTGTGCCTTCCTAACTGACAGGTGACCTTTTACATGCACAGATCGACATACTTGTTGTTCTCTGGTCTGTATGGATGTTCAACTGGCAGGGTTCTCTCTTTTTTGTGTGTTTGTGGATGTTTGAATTTGGTAGGGAGATTCGGTTGGGTCGAAATGGCGTAGAAGAAATTAAAAGAAATCCTTTCTTTAGAAACGACCAGTGGACCTTCAGCACCATTAGAGAGAGTGAGTGAAACACCTGCTTCCCCAACTTTACCACAGATTTTAGAATTCAAATACATGTCATACACATTTCACACTACACTGACCTAGAAAAGGTAATACAAATTAAAAAGTTCCATAACTATAATAGCTGTGCTTATTACACATTTGTTGTTCCAGTGTTACCAAACTGAAACCAAAACAAGCCTGTAAGCGGGATCTTTAATGTTTGAGCAATGTTAGCTATCGCTACTAGCGCCCTTTACCTCAGCTGTTTAAAACACTCACACAGAACCATTTTTTTCCCTGTTCTCTCCCCAGCTGCAGCCCCTGTGGTTCCAGAGCTGAGCAGTGACATAGACACCAGTAATTTTGACGAAATAGAGGAGGATAAAGGAGAAGTGGAGACCTTTCCTACACCCAAAGCCTTTGTTGGCAATCAGCTTCCCTTCGTGGGGTTCACTTACTTTAAAGAAGACCAGTAAGAGATTTCTGTTTTTGTTAATTCTGTACTCTAAACTGTTTGTTTGTGTTGGATCTCCACTTGATGTTCTGAAGCAAAACCAGTCTATAAGAACTGTCACAGATAATCTGGTGTGTTTTTGTGCAGGTTGTTGAATGCTGTTAACAGTTCAGCAATGAAAAATGATCTCCCAGTATCTAAGAGAGAGGTACGACACGGACTCATTCCTATCTTCATCAGTTTATTTTAATTTAACTGCTTTATGTTCTTTATATACTGGATTTACCTCATACAGTAGACTCTGGTTAGACACTTCATATTAGACTTGGAAAAAACCTGAAGCTTTTTTTTTTTTTTTTTTTTTTTGAAGCAGGACTAAACTGATTAGTGCTTCTTGTGTATTTGGTTGTAACTAATCTTTTCATTATTATTATTTTTTTACCCACAGGACAATTTAGCAGTAAGTGTTCAGTCTCTCTCCTTAATACACAGCTTATTAGGTAATTTTTTATTATTTTAAGAGACTGATGACATATTAAATAAAGATCGCTTTATTTTCCACTCAGCTCCAGAACAAACTTCATTCTCTAGAAGAGCAGCTCAATATTGAAATGCAGGCCAAAGATGAGCTGGAGCAAAAATTCAGAAGCAACTGCACCCGCATGGAAAAGATCACCAAAGAGCTCGATGAAGAGGTGAGCGCGTGTCTCGTGTCTGGAACTTCAGCAAAGTTGTGTGTAGGAATATACAGTGATCTTACTGCATCAATCACGACATACATGTAGTTCTCTGGTCCAAATATAGATATGGATGTTCAACTGCCAGGGTTCAGTCTATTTTGACAAGCTCAGTCTATTTTTTGTGTGTTTGTGGATGTTTACATTACATTGGTGCTTTGCACATGTGTTTATAGATAAATGGCAGAAAAGTGTTGGAGACGTCTCTGAGACAGCTGGAGAGAGAGAAAGCTCTCCTGCAGCACAAGAGCGTAGAGAGTCACCGCAGAGCGGAGAGTGAAGCCGACCGCAAACGCTGCCTGGAGAATGAAGTGAACAGTCTGAGGGATCAGCTGGATGAAATGAAGAAGAAAAACCAGAACTCGCACATCTCCAATGAGAAGAACATCCATTTGCAGAAACAGGTTTGTGGGTTTGAGGACATCCAGAAAACATGCTATTTCTGTCATTCAGGTTCATAATTCAAGAGCATATAAACATTTTTTGAAGATGATCAAAGTGGCTTCATTTGTTAAAGTGTTATAAACTGTGTGTAAATCTCTTCGCAACCAGCAGTTTCATGACAAATGTAACAAATCATGGAAAAATGATTGCCTTAACCTGAGAAGATAATGATCAAACTTTCCAAATCATTGCTTATGAAAGTCAATTTATGTATTATGTATTGGGTACGTTATCATCTCTGACAGACAGCATGTTGAAGCCGGTCAGGCTGCCATTTTCACCCTCTTCTCGGAAAGTGATAACGCATTCAAAACATCCGGTAGTGTGGGTTTTCCAGGAAATGCGTGTGCTCCCTGGACCTCTGCTTCTCGTAAATACTACCATGTATTGTGCACGTTATTTTTTTGACAGACATCGATGTCGTGATATTCAAATGATGTGGATTTGAAAACAGATGGATCGTAAGGTAATAATTATTTCTTAGACGGCAAGTATTCAGTGAAGTGATTGCTGCCCACGAGTGTGTTATGTTAGTTCTAATATTCCAACCGACAGCCAGACAAAGATTTTGACGGACGTGATAATGTGCGTGAGGGGTGAACTATGCTTGTGTTTTGGGTAATTATAAAATGTGCTGGAGATGTTCTAATTGCTTTTTGTGAAGTTCCATGTAATTATTTTACTGAATGAAGTTTATTTTGAACAAATTACATGTAATTTGTAAAAATGAACAAATTACATGTTACTCAAGAGAAAATGTTTGGCTTGTCAAAAATGTTACATTTTAGCTGTCGCAAATTCATTGACTTTTTTGAAAATCAAGCAAACATTTTATTTTATTTTATTTATTATTTACCAAGAAAGAAGTGGTTTTGAAGTTGCTTTTATTCTCTCATAACATTTTATTTAAACCCATGGAAATGCAGATCCTGTTTTTTTTTTTTAAATCACTTTTTAACTGTTGTTCCATTACTAACCCTTAGCCAATTTTGACTCGTATGCATTATATATTAAACATGCTACCGTTTTTTTTTTTAAGAAATTAGTGCGTAATACTGTTATTGAACAAAGATGTATTAAATTGATAAATCTATTCAGTAATGGTTTTCCTCAAAAACTTTTAAGCAGCACAACTGTTTTCAACATTGATAATAATGAGGAAAGGTTTTTTAACAGCAAATCAGCATATTAGAATGATTTTTGAAGGATCATGTGACACTGAAAGCTAGAGTAATGATGCTGAAAATTCAGCTTTGACATGACAGGAATAAATGACATTTTAAAATATTGTTTTATGCATGAATATTTATGTTTGTTTGTTTGGTATTTTATTTATGGTTTGAATGACAAGTAATTCAGTCAAGATTTGATTCACAAAAGATTTATGTCAATATTTTATTATTTTGTGTCATTTGGAATACAGTGTCTGTTAAAAGCAACTTTCTTAAAAGTAAAGTTCCCAGAATTATGGGTCTGTTTTCCTGAAGAAACCCGTTGCTATTTGTCTTTCTCATGTGTTATAAAGTAAAAGAATGGTCCTAGTAGTATACTGTCATTTCTCTATGACAAACCCGTGTCTCTCTCTCTCTCTCTGGCAGCTGGATGAGGCGAATGCGTTACTGCGGGCAGAATCTGATGCGGCTGCACGGCTGCGTAAAGCTCAGACAGAGAGCTCCAAACAGCTGCAGCAGCTGGATGCTCATGCAAGAGAACTGCAGGACAAGTGCTGCATGCTGGAGAACAGCAAGCTCACGCTGGAGAGAGAGAACATCAGCCTGCAGGCAGCGCTGGACTCAGAGAAACGAGAGCACACCCAGGGCTCTGAGACTATCTCTGATCTACTGGGTAAGTGTGGATCCCTTCTTCTGGAAGTATCATATCAATTCACACGCAACAGTGTTCATTTACATTCCATCTCTTATTCGTAGCACGAATCTCTGGTTTGGAGGAGGAAGTGAAACAGGCGAGACAAGCCCTATCTAAAGCTGAGACTGAGAAGAGGCAACTTCAGGAGAAGTTAACAGACCTGGAGAAGGTAAATAAATACTTTTTTGGGGTTTTTTGTACTTTTTTGTACTTTTTTTGTGGATTCAAACATCATTTGTACCTTCTTTATTCCCAGCATTCACTAGAAGGCTATAAAGTTCATGTACTGGTGTATTATAGAATTTTATGTTCAGCCCCTCTTCTAATATCTGTTTGTGTGTATGCCCAATAGGAGAAGAGCAATAACCAGATTGACATGACCTATAAACTGAAGGTGTTGCAGCAGAGTTTGGAGCAGGAGGAGGCGGCACACAAGGCCACAAAAGCTCGACTTGCCGACAAGAGCAAGATCAGCGAGTCCATTGAAGGAGCAAAATCTGAGGCTGTGAAGGGTAGGAGAGCTTAGTGATCCTATGAAACAAATTTTGAATGTAGATTATTTCCTATTGGTGTATTTCCTTATTAAAACAGGGAGTTTACACAAATTAAAGACGCTACTTGAAACGAACAGAAATGGACTAAAAGCCACATAACAATTTTGATTTCATTTTAAGAATAGTGCTTGAACTTGAACTGAGGGTGCAGTGAAAAGCTTGTTGGTTTAGATTAAGGGAGACAAGACCAGACATACATTGGAGAATTGATTAAAGGATGTATTACTGGTTTTCGTAAACATTACAGGATTTTTGTTGCTTGTTAACATGTCTGTTTTTGTGTGTTCATCTAGACCTGGAACAAAAGCTGCAGGAGGAACGTTCCTCTAAACTGCGTGTGGAGAACAGGGTGTTAGAACTGGAGAAGAAGAACTCCATGCTTGACTGTGATTATAAACAGTCACTGCAGAAACTAGAGGAACTGCGGCGACATAAAGAGAGACTCACAGAAGAGGTACTGCAGTGGATTCATGTATTTTTGCTACCCCTGCCAATGGCCGGTTAATTAAGAAAATTGACTGGCCATAAATGTCTATTATTTTCCATTTATTAAGATTCGTTTTTCGAAGATTGGTCAAAAGTGAAAGTAAAGACATTTATAATTTTACAGGATACTTCTATTTCAAATAAATGCTGTTATTCTGAACTTTCTATTCATCAAATAATCCTGAATGGTTTAAAAAAAAAATTAAGGTAATAAGAATTTCTTGAGCAGCAAATCAGCATATTAGAATGATTTCTGAAGAATCATGTGACACACAAAAGTTAGGTAATGGCTACTTGTCATCACAGGAATAAAGTACACAGATCTAACATATTCTCTTTGTCTAGGTGAAGAATTTTAGTCTGAAGATTGAGCAAGAAGTTCAGAAACGCACTTTGACTCAGAATGACCTGAAGGTTCAAAACCAGCAGCTCAGCACCCTCCGAACATCAGAGAAACAGCTCAAACAGGAGATCAACCACCTGCTGGAAATCAAACGCAGCCTGGAAAAACAAAACATGGAGCTGCGCAAGTATGCAACACACATGCATATGAACTTATTGCACACACAAAGACACATCTTAATAGCTGGTGGCTGGTATAAACAAATATATTTAAATCATTTAAATATTGGATAATTTTCTGTGTGTGTTTCTAGAGAGCGTCAGGATTCAGATGGACAGATGAAGGAACTGCAGGATCAGTTGGAGGCAGAGCAGTATTTCTCCGTAAGAAGTCTAAACTCTCTCCCTTGCAGAGTAAATCTAATACTCAAAGGTTTAATGAGATTGAGTGTGAGTGTGAGAGTGAGTGAGTGTGTGTGAGTGGTGATTTTGTGTGTGTGGCGATCGTTTTGGTCCCCAGGACTAAAGAGCTTAAATCAAATAGGATTATGTTTTTTGAAAATGTAATGCAGATCATTTTCTGTAATGGTTGTTTAGGGATTAGGGGATATAATATGCAGTTTGTACAATATAAAAATCATTATGTGTATGGAAAATTCACATAAAACATTGAAACCTAACGTGTGTGTGTGTGTAGACGCTGTATAAGACACAGGTGCGGGAGCTGAAGGAAGAGTGTGAGGAGAAAAATAAACTCTATAAAGACATGCAGCAGAATCTCCAGGAGTTACAGGAGGAAAGGTGAGATTTATATCCAATTACGAGCAGAACAATCACAGCCTAGTGTACAAAACAAGTTTTTAAATCTACTGAATAATTATAACAAAAAATAATATGCATTACAATATGGTTAAACCATATGTATATAACATTTCTGGGTCAAAATGCCAGAAAACATAACCTTTTTGTCACACTGCTAATTTAAAGACTAAACGTGTATGTTAGTTTCATTTCTATGTACCTTTTCTTCTGTTGTCCCTTTTTCAGGGATTCTCTTGCGGCCCAGTTGGAGATCACACTAACGAAAGCTGACTCCGAGCAACTGGCACGCTCCATTGCGGAGGAACAGTATTCCGACCTGGAGAAGGAGAAGATCATGAAAGAGCTGGAGATCAAAGAGATGATGGCCAGACACAGACAGGAGCTCGCTGAAAAAGACACCACCATCACCTCTGTGAGTTACACTGCATTTCAGCTATAAGCCATTCACAGAGTTGAGGAACTTGTTGGGTTTAATTGTCCCATCTCTATACAGTTAGAGGAAGCTAATCGCACATTGACAAATGATGTCGCAAACCTGGCCAATGAGAAGGAAGAGCTCAACAACAAGCTAAAGGAGGCACAAGACTGTAAGTGGCAGAATATGTTGACATCTATGTATACTATATAATCATTTATAATTCTATTTTTTACATTTTCAGAGCTGTTCACATAGGAGTAATTTAACATTTTCTCAGCTTCAGTAGCATATTTAAGATATTCACTGCACATACCAAATTTTTCTACACATTTGTGTGGAACTTTTTACAGCCTAGAAAAAAAACATTGACCCTCATCATCCTTAGCAAACTCAGGATAGATAGCTTTTGGGGATATCACTGTAACTGTAAAAATTTGATTTTCAGACCTGCAGAATCTGAAGAATGAAGAGCAGTCCATCACTCAAGTGAAACTGGCCCTTGAGAAACAGCTGCAGTCAGAGAGAACTCTCAAAACACAGGTACACCATGACTAGGGTTGGGAATCGTGAGAAATTTTCCGGTTCCGCCAAACGATTCCGGTTCTGGTTCCAGTTCCCATTCATTAAAAAAAAAAAAAATATTAGTAAAATCCTCAATCCTTTTTGTGTTTATTTCCTATAATACTTGACAAATGAGTTTAACAGACTGGTAATGTAAACAAATTCAACATATTGTTAAGAAATTTTTGCATAAAAAAAAATCTGAAGGAAAAAAAAATTCTGCATTCTCTAGAATAATTTAGGACCTCCACTGTCTCCAACAGTGAAGAATGCCCTCTCAGAAGGGGTAGAATATGCTTGAACACACATGTAAAATGTGTATAGAAATTATTATCTTTTAAAAAAGTTTGAATGATTGATTCATAAAGACTTTACTTTTCATTACTGGATAAATCGGCACTCTAGCAGTTAATAAACAGAACTCCATGCGTCTTGCGGAAGAAAATTGTTGCCAGAGCTACTTTTCTCTGTTTATGTCCATGACGAGTCACGCAGGCATTGGGCTACTCCTCAGCGGCTGTGATCCGCCGGCCCGTCTAAACAAGAAGTCTGAGTATTAACGCTTATTGCAGGCTTAACCTAGTGATTCAAGATAAGACAAAAACAAGATTTGAAAAAAGGCATTCATGATGCACTCGCTCATTGTATACATGCAGCAAATGCAGCGTGTGTGGGAGCAAACCGCAACTTCCGCAAAGGATAATCTAACGTTACTCCCAGCACTTTGCCCACATATCGCACCAGAACCGTTTTCAGAACCGAAACTGTTCCGGTATTTTTTCAAAAACACTACCAGTTCTGACAGTTTCCTTTGAGCAAATGAACAAATCAAATTCAATTTGAGTCAGATACTTATTTTTCCTCTTTTCTGTTGGCTCTTTTCTATCTATCAGGCGGTGAACAAGCTGGCAGAGATCATGAACAGAAAGGAGGTTAGAGGTGGAGGCAGTCGCCGTGGAAATGATACAGACGTGAGGAGGAAGGAGAAAGAAAACAGGAAGTTGCAGCTGGAGCTTCGTTCTGAGAGGGAGAAACTCAACAGCACCATCATCAAATACCAGAGAGAAATCAACGACATGCAAGCAGTATGAGCACTATTCAGTGTCCGAAGAATGCTCCACAGGCAGCCAGAATACTCGTTTCTTACTCTTCTTTTATTTCTGCAGCAATGGGCGGAAGAGTCTCAGGTGCGTGTCGAGCTGCAGATGGCTCTCGACAGTAAAGACAGTGATATCGAGCAGCTTCGTGGCCTGTTGAACTCTCTCAACGTCCAGTCGCTCGACTCGGCCAGTATGAGCAGCGGCCCAGACATGGACACTGACGAGTCACTACCAGGTACTGTTGAGGTCTTTTCCAAGCTTCTTTTCATTCTGTTGTCCCTCTCTATTCTTTCATAGCTTTTTATTTTATTTACATTGCTCTTTTTGTTTTTCTCCACATTTTTCTGTCACCGTCCCTTGTTTTCTGCTTAGTATTACTCCGATATTCAGTTCAACTTTCACCCTTCACTTCACTGCAGAGCCTGAGCCCGAAGGTGACCTGCATGGCATTCAGTGCATGACCTTTTGACCTCTTAAGACTTGACTGGCCATCATGGCAGGCTTTTCTCTGGAGTATTTTTATAAAGCTGCTCTGTTTTATTATACATGTCTTCCTCTCTGTTGTGCAGAGATCAGACTGGAGGGTTGGCTGTCTATACCAGTAAGGAACAACACCAAACGCTTTGGGTGGGAAAAGAAGGTACGTTTTTAGATAAGCATATTGCATTTTTAAAGCAAGCAAATAGCTATGAATGCTATGATGCTAAAAAATGCTATTAACAGGGTTCCTACGCAGTATGTTAAGAATTTCTAAAAATAAATGTGTTGTAGAAGCGGAGCGTTATCATTACACAAGTTTAGTGATTGTCGAACACAACTGATTCAAGGCACACAATTTCATTGTGCAAAACTGTTTGTCTTTATTATAAATGGGTCTCTTTTAAACCAATGTGTGTGTGCCACTCAACCCAGCAACAAAAAAGGAGCAAACAATCACCTCAATCAGACTCAAACCATGACTGCAGTATCAAACCGATGTATCGGAGGTGAATAAACGCAGGTTTTAAAGCATTTAATGTTTCTTCTCAACATTTAAGTGCATGTTATCACTTTGTGAAAACCAATGGGGAAAAAAAACTATTTGGTGTTGACTGTTTTATATACAAAATATAATGCTGAAAAATGTGTTCTTAAATATGGTCTGAAAAGTCTACAGAGAGGTTTGGGAATTTGAACCTGGAAAATGAGCAGGAACCCTGACTTCAAAATGGACCAATCAATTAAGTAATCAGTGCTTACTTTTTTTTTTAAATAGTGAAAACTGAATAATAGTGAGTGAATTAAATAAACACATTTTATTTGAATAATTAACCAATTTCATGTTGTCTGCAACCACATGACAAATACTAATAGCTAGGACTAAACCTCAAATGACTTTGTGAACAAGACTAAACCACTAGAGCTGCAGTGTTAGACTACAGTTCAGTTCCATGATACTTCTACATCTGAAATCCCATCCAACCCCATCATGCAGGATTCAGTGAGTCTTTTGTTTCTTCTCTCTCCTCTAGTATGTTGTGGTGAGCAGCAAGAAGATTCTCTTCTACAACAGCGAGCAGGACAAAGAGCTTTCCAATCCTTACATGGTGTTGGACATAGAGTGAGTCCTTTCACCCTTCAAATCCATTTCTTTAAATCAAATAAGCTTGTCCCAGTCGTATCCTGTATCATTTTGACTGACTTGTGTCCTCTGTCTTCTTTTCTTTATTCTCTGGTTTTCTTCAGTAAACTTTTCCATGTGCGTTCGGTAACTCAGACGGACGTTTATCGAGCTGACGCCAAAGAGATCCCCAGAATATTTCAGGTATAATGGCACACCACAGATATCACAGGCAGGGTATCAAGGTTTCTTTAATCTTGAAACCTGTTGAAGTTGTATAAGATAAGCCACAAGGCATAAGGGTGACGACTATCTCTTGTCATTGGTTCCTCCAGATCTTGTATGCTAATGAGGGTGAGAGCAAGAAAGAGCAAGAGGAACCTCTTCCTGGGGACAAGTCCAGCTACATTTGCCATAAGGGTCATGAGTTCATCCCTACCCTGTACCACTTTCCCACTAACTGTGAAGCCTGTACCAAACCCCTGTGGAACATGTTCAAACCACCTCCAGCTTTGGAATGCAGACGATGCCATATCAAGTGCCACAAAGACCACATGGACAAGAAAGAAGAAATCGTCGCCCCCTGTAGAGGTGAGAAGAGGCTCACTTCTTTACTACCCTTACTTAGCCTGGGTTTCCCCATGCTGCCTTTGTGCAGCGCAATTTTATTCACGCTGCTAGGCAGCCTGGATTTCATGGACCCGATTTTCGAGGGGACCAATCACAGAATGGGGAGGGAGCATCAAGACGATGACGACGTCTATCCGACACACCGAAGCAGTTTTTTTTATACCTATGGATCCAACATGTCAGCAAACGTGAAGTTACCTTTCGACGCAGCCTTGGATATTGTTCTAAGTAGTTTATAACGCAAGTTTGTTTTGAAATAAGAGCAGCTTTTAGCGTTTAACAATTTCATAACAATTGGCTATGGGTTACGTACAGGCGCATTTGATAAACATTCGTAGCACCCAATAAATGGCTCTGGGCATTCGTAAACCACAAATACAAGAAAGTCAACATGTTGTTCCCAGACCACATCCCTTACTGGTTATTTACATTATATACATTTTCATTAAGTAAATGTTGTGTGAAAAAGTTCAAACTAAAATGACCCATTTACAAAATTGCTTTTTACATATGTTTCTGTATGGTTTCCTGGGACCTGGGAAACCTTGGAATATAGTCATATATAGCTTTTTTCAGTATTTATTCAAGGAAAAATTACATTTTGAGAGCGCAAAAGTACTATGAAATGGTCTTAAAAAAACAACTTATTTTTTGACATTTTTGTCCTTGATTCATCACACATGGCTGGAAAATTCATGGTGAAAATGGTATTGGTAATACAAAATGTAATACTGTTCAGGATCAAAGTGACTTACATTTTATACTGTTACAAAAGATTTCTATTTCAATTTAATTCTGTTCTTTTAAGCACTTTATTCATCAAAGAATCCTAAGAATAAAAATGTATTGTGTTTTCCACAAAATTATTAGGCAGTACAACTGTTTTCCACATTGATAATAATAAGAAATTATTCTTGAGCAGCAAACCAGTGTATTAGAATGATTTCTGAAGGATCATGTGACACTGAAGACTGGAGATCACAGGAATAAATGATATTTAATGTCATGACAAAAAATATATTAAAAAGAGAAAAGTTATTTTAAATTGTAATAATATTTCACAACATGTACATGTTACTGTATTTTTGATCAAATAAACTCAGCCTTGGTATGCATTTGAGGGACCATTTCAAAAACATGTTTTTTGAACTCATTTGTCCCATTCTCATGTTTAACTTCCGTGTTTGCTTTCTCCACCCCTCAGTGAATTACGACGTGTCTACTGCTAAAAACCTGCTGCTGTTAGCCTTGTCTCAGGAGGACCAGCAGAAGTGGGTTAGTCGGCTCATGAAGAAGATCCCCAAAAAACCTCCAGCACCAGACGCCCCTCACCGCTCCTCTCCCAGAGTTCCAGCTAAAGTACAAAGCAGTCAATCCATGAGGAGACCCAGCCGACAAATACCTTCAGGCAAACCCAGGTGAGGAGTAAGCCTTGAAGTTCACATTTTTATGCAAAGTTTTGGTAATTATGTGGCTGTGTTCTGCTCTATCTTGTGTTTTTATGTGGCAAATGTAGAATTTATGCTGTGTCAGTTCAAATACTTTGCCCATCAGTGTCTGTCTACTCTTTTGAGTAAGCGGAGTACATAAAGGCCTGGTTTACATTCACACTTGGTGACCAGATCCTTTCAGACCAGTTTGTTCAAAAATGAAAACTGTCATCATTTACTCAACCTCATGTCATTCCTGGTTTTAGCAGAATACCCAGTCCACTTTTACATACACTACCAAATGTTTTTAAAACAGAACAGAGCACTTTTGAAGTGATTTTAGGTTTTGAATTTTACAGAAAAGTTTTTGAATAGGTCTAACACTATTCATAGACAGAAACTGAATAAAGGTATCAAATGGAAAATAACACTGGGTAGTATTTTAGTCCTGAATAAATTAAAAACATTGGCTATTAATCCTGATTCCTTTAATTTAAAGCTCTCTTTTGACGACAAAATTAATGACCGACACATATGGCTGCCGTCACTTTAAGGGCTAGTGCACAGATTCTGTTTTCATTATACTGGCATGCTTTTTATGCTTATTAAAGACAAAACCGACAATGTTTAGAGTATACCCACGAAGACCGAAATTGACACAGTTTTGCGTGTTAAAGCAATATAATCCGTGAAAAATAACTTTTGTTTCTGGCCAGCTTGTTCTTAAGGCGTATTTTGTTTAAATGTGCGCATATAGAAAATCATCCCAGACAGCGCGCGAGCACTGATTAGTTTAAAATCGCTTGAATGTTTAAACTGGTAAGACTAATGGTAAACTTCATTCACGATGCACTGCTGGGCTGATTGTGTAAGTGAATATTCCGTAATGTCCCTTGATGCTTGCCTTGCACAACACATTTTAAGAGAAGAGTTGTTCGTGGAGCTGTTTGTGGAATTGCGTCTGGCAGATAGTTGTTAAAAGAATGATTTGATTTTATAATCTGTGTGGATTACGATTGCGGGAATATCTCGTATTATAAATGAGAGACCTGCGGGAATGATTAGAATGTCAGACCTGCGGGAATGAGTGTGGAACAACACGAGAGTGAGTGAATGATGACAATTTACACATTCATTTTTGTGTGAACTGTACCTTTAACATCTTGCTCTGTAAAGTCTGATTCAAAGATGGCCGTGCATAAAATCAATGCAGAAGCTTTGGCGCCGGTTTACACACTAGAGTGCTACTCTATATGATACACAGGTTTGTGCACAACGTAAAGGAACCGACAGCATGTGTGGAGAAATCTGGCTTCATCTACCACAAGGGTCATGAGTTTCTCCCTTTATTCTACCACTTCCCTGCCAACTGTGAGGCCTGTACCAAACCCCTGTGGAACATGTTCAAACCTCCTCTGGCTGTGGAATGCCAGAGATGCCAGATCAAGTGCCACAAAGAGCACATGGACAAGAGAGATGAAGGTCTCAGACCCTGTGCTTCAGACCAGTTCAGCACTGGGTGAGAGGAGAGCGCGACCGACCTGGAAGTTGGACGGAAAAAGTATTGATGTTTATTGCAGAACGCGTTAGGATGCTTCAGAAACATCGTACAAGAGCATTCATGGTTTGAATTTCGGTGCCTAACTAGCCTAACAACATTTATGATGCCTAACCGGATGTAAAGCTTGAACAGTGTTACGCTGGGCTACTTTTTGTAACTTGGGATGCAAGGTGACAGCTTGGGCATTAACAAAGCACTTTTTCTCTTTTGCATCAAACTCAGGTTTTTGATTGTGAATAGTAACATTGAATTTAAAGGCAAAATACTTACGGTATGCATCAGAAGATTTAAAACTTCTCACACAGATCTTCACCTTTAATGCACATCTGCCATCAAATGCATACAGATGTATGTAGGTTTCAAAGCTTCAGTAGTCCTTGATCAGTGGTGAAGTGGTTTAGCTCAGTTATAGTAATTACCTCTAATGTGCAAAGGTTTAGCTTGACCTTAGCAAACTACCTCACTGTGGGGAGACTGGTGAAGGGAGGCTTGGCTGAATGCTCTCTCCTCCACCTGCAGGCCTCTGGATTTGGAGCTTCAGGACTGGCACTGGGCTCTGGATGACGTGGATGATGTAGATTATGACCACACGTTTAATTTCTGAGGAGCATGTTTAGGGTTGAAACAGGGTATCTGCTTACATAGGGGCTCTGTTCCAAAACCTTGTAAGCCACCTACAGTATGTTGGCTGGATTTAGATTGACATCAAATACACACTAAGCTCATTTTAAAAACATTAGTGATTTAATGAGATTATAATGTTGTGATAACTAATTTTACTTTTTTAATATCAAACATTTACCAATAAAACAAACTACCGTTCAAAAGTTTAATGTTTTTGAAAGAATATATGAAGAGTTCAGATGCAAAAGCCTCTAAGTGCCATTTGAAATTTTCTTCTAAAATGATCATTTTTATCAAGCTTGTTCACTAGCTTCATAAAAATGGTCATTTTAGAAGAAAATTTATAAATGGCATTTAGAGGCTTTTGCATCTGAACTCTTCATATGTATTTATAATATATTTTATCATTCAACTTTTCTTGTGAATATATTTTGAAATGCAATTTATTCCTGAATTTTCAGAAAACATTTGTCTTCAGTCACATGATCTTTCAGAAATCATTCTAATATGCTGATTTGGTGCTCAAGAAAAAAACGTCACTTTTGATAATTTTCGTGCTTTCTTTGTAAATAAAAGTATTAAAAATCGGACTGCCCTCAAACTTTTGAACGGTAGTACTGTATGTAAGGGATAATGTACATCCAGCTGGTTGTTACCTCAGAATAAACCCAGACAGGGTGATCAGGACCCCGATGCAAAGCTGTGGCACATAACTTGTAACATACTTGCCACATAAGTAAATAATTACACATGAAATATTGATCTGAGTTGAAATATTTTATTAGCTCTTTAAATGCGGAGAAAGCAGTTCGAACTAATTGTACATTTAAGGGATACGGTAGTCATACCACATATTACACAGCATTTGGCAACATACTGTAAATAATTATGGGGATGAGGGATATTGATTTGAGATGAAACTGTTTTAAAATCTTACCTGTTTGTTATAATTCATTACAGTGTGCAAAACAATAGTCACAAAATGGCAGAAGCTGCGTTTGTATGAAAACGTGTCCATGATATTGGATGGTCTAATTAAAGGGGCACTTGGCAATTATTTAAACTTAATAAAACCGTTTAGAAATAATTTGAATGGTTTAATAACTTGTTCTGGAGAGAGTGGTGGCTTCCCCCGCTCCCTCCAGCATCCCCAACATCGGGACTAACGTCCTGCGAAATTGGAAATAGAAGTCTTGTGAGAAGCGAGAACAAGCGAGAATGTGTTTTGTGGCATTTCAACATAATTCTATGATAACACAGGGTATGTTGTATTACCCACTCGGTAGACATAGCTCCACACGATAAAGTTGGCCGGCTCCGATAATAAGAAAAGCACATAAGCAGCGGTAGAAAGCGGGAGGAAGGCGCTGCAAGTTTTTTTATGACAGTGTTGTGAAAATATACGCCGCACGGCTGTAGGGGGCGCTGATGACAACACATGCGACAACAAAAGTGAAAATCAGCAAAGAAATTACTAGAGTTGCCAAGTGCCCTTTTAAATAACTGCACAAAATATTACCAAAAATATGACCGGAGTTTTAATATTTTATCATCTCACCAAAAGCAAAACTTCCAAAAGAAAAGCCGATCGCGCCGACGTCAGTGACAGATACACGGGTGAGCCTGTGTTGTTAGTTTTTAGCGGTTCCAATCGGGGAATAACATAGATATTGGAATGGCGCGATTGGCCAATCAGAATAAAGTATTCCACAGTGCTGAGTAATAAGTCCAGCCGAAAAAATATCATAAATGTAAATGTCATTATTAAATCTAATCAATAAAAAGTTAAATCATATGGAATATATTTGTATTTTTATGATCTTTAGAGTATCATGTCATTAATAAAGTGCTACACTAAACTCTAGGCTGAACACAAGGTTTTGGAACAGTCAGCGAGTGCAGTGGGATTTGTTTGTTGTTGAAGCAAATTTAAGCATGCGAGTGTTGATGTTTAATCTTATTGGTGTGAAAAATTTGGCCAAGATGGGATATGGAGAATTTTCCATCACCAAACAGACGTTTCTGTACCAATTCCTCTGCTCATAAACACCCTCTCCACACTCCAAACCCACAGGAAGGCACTCATGAATACAAAGCTGAATAGTTTTCCATTTACTACTGAAGGAGAGGAGGTTTGTGCAGAGAATTGGTATTTGGCCTGCTTGTTTCTTATTTGACCTTTGACCCTCTTGTCCTAGTCCCCCTCGAATGGACGCTCCAAAGATGAGGCGAGAAGACTCCTCCAACAGCATTCTGAACAAATGAGTCCATTGGCTAACCGTGTTTACAAACTAGAAGACATTTCAACTGTACTGTAAAAGGAAAAAGAATGAGAGCATGTGCAAAACAGTATTTTTATTTTTAGGTCTTTCTTTGTTCCCTTTTGCAATAAAAGTTTGCAACTGTTGTGTGTGTTTGGAGGTGTATTAATCTGCTTCTCTTGAGCGTGATGGCATGTACGCTGTGGTGCTTTTTTTTTTTTTAATTATTATTACCGAAGGATTTTTCTTTCCTCTTGGGTTAAAATGTAGTGAAACTAACTATCTCTTTGTCTTTCTCTTTCTCGATTTCTCCCTCTTTCTCTAGTTAACCTTATATTGGGAATCTGGTGCTGCTACATGGTGATTTGGGGTTCTTCCTGTCACATCAACAAAATGACGTTACTTTTCGCACATTTTGGCAAATCCCAAAAAAGTGAGAGATACACAAATGTTGATGAAGGCTTTGCTGGCGTGATATGGCTTTTATTTTCTGGGCATGCGGTTGCTTCGGCTTCAAGAGCACAACAGATCTACACAGAACTGAAGGGTCAGCGTCACACCAAACTTCTTATTCATTCAAGGCCAGAGTTGACCTGAACGCTAAGACTGAACCGGCCAGAGAATGTGGACGACAGCTGGTTCTGACCGTAGTCTTTTATTTTGTATTTTTCATGGCTGAATATAGACGGTAGTGCAACACACCACATAAACGGCTAGAAAACACCACTACATATGTTTCTCATTCCTTCATAAATGCAAAGTGCAACTCTGCCGTTTTCTTCTTGTAGAGTGTTTTTATCTTTATTTACCCCCCACGTGCGATCATACCCTCTTTGATCACGGGTGCATCCCATAATGCTCTCCTGGACACCTGTGAGGCTCACTCCCTAGAATGAGTTGACTGTATTTTGAGGAGGAAGCTTTATTAATGGATGTGATTAACAGTGACCAATATCTAGATGCAAGCTGTGCATGTGGGCAGGAGTTTTTCAAACGTTTCCAGATTTCAAATTGATCTGCAGTCTGTTTTGGGCTGGTCATCTTATGAATTTGAGACTAAAACTGATTCACCTTTCCAAGCACATAACAGAAATGTTCATAAGACGGTAGAATGTCTAAAAACCATGTTTAAATTTACTAGAGGAGGTTTTTTTTTTTTTTTTTGTGATTTGAAGTGTTCCGTTTGTTTTTTGTGTATCTTCACCTTAGCAAACAGTGTGTATCTATGGGTGTGCTGTGAATGCATATCTGTGTTCTTTTACACATTATATATATATATGAATATACAGCGTATATTTGACCTGCCATCTTAACAGGTGGTTTGCTATTTATACAGGTCTGGGCACTTTTTTTATTTTAAAGCGTTGCCTCCAGATTTGCATGTTTTATATTGATGTACTGTTTGAGCATAAAATGAAAAGCATATGTAGCCGTGTTGTTTGGAGATCTTGTATAACATTTGCTTATTTTTGTAAACAAAAGTAGTCAGTTAAATAGGTCTGTAGCTGTGAATGTAGTAAAAGGAAGTAAAGTTTTAATATAAACAATGTGGCCATTCTTTTCTGTCTGCTTATATCAAACACACACACAATAACCCAAAATATTCTTTAATTTTTTATGGACTTTTTGTGGATCCATTAATTATCATCAGGATATATATTTATTTATTATTTCTATTATATTTAACACAAATATGTCATCATTCCTGATGATAGCTATTGCATACACAAAAAGTATTTTTAAACCAAACTATTCTTTAACATTTTTTAAATACATCTTTTGCTTTCATTATTTGGGGTAAGTGTTTTTCGTTTGGGCTCTGAAAATGATTAAAAACACATTTCCACAAAATAATGTTTGATTTATAAAAAAAAAAAAAAGATATATTAAAGGGATAGTTCACTTTGAAATCAATTTTTGATAATGTTTTAGCTTACCTCAAGGGCATCCAATATGTAGATGTCTTTGTTTCCACAGCATTTTCAATTTTGACATTTTTTGGTCAAACCGTTGTTGTCTTCGATATATCTAAATATGTTTAGTGAAAGGTAAAACTTCTGAAATCTCTGTGTAAACAATGCATGACGTAGACGCGCGAGAGATCACTTCCGGCATAATGTCTGGAGACGGTTCAGTTCGGTTCAGTTGGACATCTGATTCAGATCAGTTCGACGGCTGTTAAAAAGAGGTAAAAACTATATAAATACTGTTCGTTTTCTCACACAAACCGCTCGTTTCGTGTCTTAGGCCATCAGAGTGTACTTACATTCACGAGTCATTAAACCATGTTTAATTTTCACTTCTCTGTGCATGCTCTTTGAGGTGAACCGAGGGAGGACCCCCTTAACCTGCAGTGTGTGACTGACAGACAACAACGGTTTGACCAAAAAAATGTCAAAATTGAAAATGCCGTGGAAACAAAGACACCCTTGAGGTAAGCTTAAACATCAAAAATTAATTTCAAAGTGAACTATCCCTTAAAAGTACTTCCGAAAGAGGCCGTTGTGCTTTAGACCTAAAATCATTGAAAAATTAATGAACATTAAAAGCTGCGGTCCATAACTTTTTGTTCAAAATATACAAAAATGATACAATGAGCGAGTACACCATTAATCAATTTTGCAAAGAATCTTCAATTAAATATTATAAAGTGAATAGGCTCATCACAACATCAGTAATATGTAAAAGGTGTCCGGAAAACCCTGCCTTCATTATATCAGCATATCATACAGCTCAATACAAAACATTGCATATTTCAGCATATGTAAACATCATCCCTTTTTGAACTACAGTAAACAGTCTGATCAGAAACCTGATATCATTAATCAATTTTAACAGTTCTTCAGAAGAAAATTGGTCCCAAATGATTTGCCTTTGTGAGAAGAAAAAAGACAATTACTAAACTTCTAACTTAAAATCCATAACAGTATATCTGTACAAAAGCTTGAAACAACAGTTCAGGGAAGAAACCTCACTGGAAATAGTAGTATTAACAATGGAAGAATCAGGATAGGGTATTAGGAACGTATGCACCGTTTCATCACTATTTGGTCCGACTTCTGACGTGACAAATGTAATTAATCAATTTGATTTCCACAACATTCACATCCGAGATTCAAAGCAAATAAACTGAAAAGAAAATTTCTCTGCCCCAGCCACATCTCAAAACAAACTAGACTTGCATGTCCTGAAGAAAATACCAGTGCTTGCAAGGCAGAAAAATACAAAAAAAAAAAAGACAGTTGCAGTTCATTATTCAAATAGATTTATGAAAAAAGAAATTGCAATTCAATATGCAAATATCATCATCACTGTTGTATTTAGAATTGGATATTTTCAAAATGTAATCATTTCTTAAGTATTAAATTTACAAAAATAGATCAGATTCACCTTCGATTAAAATTCTCTACAAAAAAGTATGAATGGTGCCTTGCAAGCACTAATTAAATCATATGAAAAGCATTGTGTTTTTGGTTGTAGTAGATACTTGCCCAGTCAGTAAATCAACATCCTTTGCATTGCCATATAGTGCTACATCCAATAGCAACTGATCTGAATACAGTTCATTTCTTTAAAAATGGTATGTAACAAAAAAGTGCGAAGTCTTAATCCTGTTTTATAGCATGGGGCTTGTAGTAGATGACCGTAACCGTGACCCACATGTTCAGAACGGTCATGACGACGAACCGAATGAGGACTGGAGAAGAAAGAGAGGAGAGGTAAAGATGACATCTTAACCAAACAATCAACACTTGAGCTATTACTGACCTTGTGTGTCTGCTGTGGTGATGACGGTGGTGAAGATCCGCGCTGACAAATAGAGCAAACACTCAATATCAACATGACAGACTGGAGAAGTGCTTCATTTCCGTGTGTGTGTGTGTGTGTCACTTACCCATGCATGTGTATGTGGCCAGACCCCAGGTGAGAGTGCTAACCTGCCCAGAGTCCTTTGAGCGCCACAGACACTGAAGCTGTGCCAGTTTACTGCTGGCGCTGATGAATGTGCACAGACTCTGAGAGAAAAAAGTTCAAAAGTTTGGGGACAGTAAGATTTGAAAGAAATTGCAGTAAAGGCATTTATAATGTTTCTATTTAAAAGGAACTAAAAAAAAAAAATGTTCTTTTGAAATTTTAATTCATTGAAGAATTCTGAAATGTTTAACGCCCCCCCCCCCCCCCCAAAAAAAAAAAAACAAAAACAAAAATTGAGCAGCGCAACTGTTGTTGACATTAATAATATTAATAATAATAATAGTTTCTTGGGCAGCAATAAACTTTTATTATTATTATTATTTTTATTTATTTATTTATATTTTGCATGACTGGACTAGACAACATTTGCTCAAGCAATGGGTTGAGTAATTTAATTCTGTTTAGTACTATAATGATGCAAAAAGACGCTTTTCCTTTAATCTTAACCTATTATGTTCAAATTAAGATCAATTGTAAATTTGAAACTAATGAAAAATTATATTGCATATTCTCACCATGGCCAGATCAATCACCCACTTCTGTACTGTAAGAAGTTGCCATCCACCGACAAACCTGATTCTCTAAGTTAAGGAGATATAGATTAAATATTTTAAATCAGGCAGGTTTTGAATGTTATTGGGGCATTATTTTTTTTATTTTTCACTCTGTCCAGAATATTAGATATGGGCTTGAACCTTGAAGGATACAGTGCTGCGTATATGAGGCTGTGCTTCAGGTTTCTGTTGTAGTGCAGGATCAACAGGAGCACAATGACATCTGTGGACAGACACACAAGCTTGAAAATAAGCACTCAGAACCCAAAGTCTCATTTGTGATTAAGCATCTGAATGGCGGCTCACCTTGTGCAATGAGGATGGGATACTCCAGGTATGTGAGGGGTGGGTAGTCATAGTACATCTGATAGGACATGAACACTAGAAAACTAAAACACACGTACACACATAAAGACTTTAGGTCTTAAATATCATGGTTGTCTACGCAATTTCTATAAAAAACGGTTTACAAACCCTCGATCACAAATAACCGTGAAATGGTTTGGGGCTTGCTTTGTAATACAATATATGACATTAGGTGTAACATCATATGCGCATTGTGCAACATTAATGTTGTGCATATATAATAAAAACTAAATTTGATTAGACTTAAATGCATAGTGAAAATTACTCTATAATAGGCTGTATGCAACACACATAAGCGTGTATGCATGCTCGAAACTCATTTTTCATTCAATGTCATTTGCCACGCACACATAAATGGCAGTTTGATGCAGCTCATTCTGGATGTCTCCTTCTAACCTGTCATGCATCGGTCCTTAAAATATTAATTTCAATCAACTGTCAGTGAAGTTCTTACCCGACCAGCTCCAGCAGAAGACTGTTCAAACTGACTCCAGCGCTCGTTCTGGCCCGCATCAGCACGAATATCTGCGGGAACTTCAGCACCATACACACAAACAGAGTGCTGAAGTTGGCCAAATTCAACGTCAAGTTGCCGTCCATCTCTGTAAACTTCTGGTCCTTTAATTCCCCTCTATTTTCCGCTTCTGTGATTCTGGCACGAAGCGTATCCAGCTGTTAGTATCAGAATCAACTGCACTTCCGCACACAACAGCGCGCGAGATTTGACCCTCCACAGCTCCCGTAGCTCACCGCTTCTGTTTGTTCTTGAGAGTGATGGTGATGTGGTGATTGTTGTTTGCACATACCTTCTGGTCATTCGCAACATGTGTGGTGACAAATGAGCCTTTATTAACATTTTTTTTAAATGATAAGAAATTCCTATTTAAAATGTACAATTACACAACCAAACATGATAATAAACACTTTTTTTACTGTTAGGTTTTGCAGATATTTAAATTTATCTACTCACTTGATTTTCCCTGGTTTAGTGTAAGGTCTAACGAGTGAGCAAAAAAAAAAAAAAAAACTAAAATAATAATTAATAATCTTAATATAGGCCTAAATATAATTTATTTCAATTAATTACAACTGTTTCCAACATTGATCAATAAATCAGCATATTAATGATTTCTAAAGGATCATGCACTGGAGACTGTAAATTTGCTGTAAATAATGATGTTGTAAATTTAGCTTTGTATCACAGAGATAAATTATATTTTAAAGTATATTAAAATATAAAACCATTATTTTAAATTGTAATTATATTTCACAATATTAGCTACGTTTTGTTCTGTAGACTATTTTTCATCAAATAAATTATGGCTTGACAAAGGTTTGATTGATGAGCATAAGAGTTTTCTTTCAAAAACATAAAAAATAGTAAGCTAATGTTTTACAAACCTTTGACTGTTACTGAATATACACTCAGCTAAAGGATTATTAGGAACACCATACTTATACTGTGTTTGACCCCCTTTCGCCTTCAGAACTGCCTTAATTCTACATGACATTGATTCAACAAGGTGCTGAAAGCATTCTTTAGAAATATTGGCCCATATTGATAGGATAGCATCTTGCAGTTGATGGAGATTTGTGGGATGCACATCCAGAGCATGAAGCTCCCGTTCCACCAAACCCCAAAGATGCTCTATTGGGTTGAGATCTGGTGACTGTGGGGGTCATTTTAGTACAGTGAACTCATTGTCATGTTCAAAAAAACAATTTGAAATGATTCGACCTTTGTGACATGGTGCATTATCCAGCTGGAAGTAGCCATCAGAGGACGGGTACATGTTGGCCATAAAAATGGTAAATGGACTGCATTTATATAGCGCTTTCATAGACCTAATGGCCACCAAAGCGCTTTACATTTGCCTCACATTCACCCATTCACACACTCATTCATACACCGACGGCGGTGTCAGCCATGCAAGGCGCCAGCCAGCTCGTCGGGAGCAGCTGGGGTTAGGTGTCTTGCTCATGGACACCTCGACACTTGGTCAGGTGGAACCGAGGATTGAACCACCAACCTTTCGGTTTGTAGACAAACCACATGAACCACTGAGCCACTGCCGCCCATAAAGGGATGGACATGGTCAGAAACAATGCTCAGGTAGGCCATGGCATTTAATGATGCCCAATTGGCACTAATTTTTGGACAAAACATTTTGTCCAATAAAAGCTTTTATTGACACCAGGCTCAGCAAACGGCTCATTTTTAAAAGTGGGGAACTATGACATCAAAGAGGATAAAACACCACCCCCGCAGAAGTAGATGAACTCCTACTTCAACACGGCCGGTTTAGCCCCGCCCACTGATTCGCGCATGACACGCATAGCTAAACATACTGTAGCTAACATAGGCCTACCTCGTGATGACAACTCAGATCGAGCTACCGAGCAATACAAAATATCGTGCAGTGCCTGGTTGTGGAAGAAGACAGTGGCTGCATATGCTTCCTCTGGATTCCAATAGGAGCATGGATTAACTTTATTTTTAATGACGTTCCAGCTGATGAGGGTAAAACCGTCTGTTCGCTTCATTTCACTGAGGATTGTTTTGTAAACAAGACTGGATTTGCAGACCGATTAGGAGTAAAGAACGGTGCTGTGCCGTCTGGATCTTACAGGAATTGTGCAACACGGACTCTGAGTCGAATTTGAGGTAAGTTGACGAGGTAAGTTGAAAAACTCAATACAAAACTGTTATCCACTCAGCAGTGGGAGTTTACTTCCGTCTTCATGAAATCCATGCGTTTCTGAGCAGCTGGTCTCAAAACTAGGGTAGAAAATAGCTTTAGTTATTCATTTTTTTATGTTTTTGAATGCAAAAACCTAGCGAGCGTCGTAAGTTCACCTCAGAAATCAATATAATAAAATTTAAAAAGTCAGTTCATGACCACTTTATAATGAGTTCTGTGTCTGTTCATGTTTGTGTCATTGAATTAAAACAAATTAATGTTATATTGTATTGATTTTAGTCGGATCAGTGTTTTTTTTTATGCTATAGTTGCCATGAATAAATCAAGCAGTTGTTCAAGTTACAAAGTCAACATTGTTTGAGAATGACTAAAATGAATAAACATTCTTGGAGATCAGAATAAAAATGAAGAACATTCTTGGAGAAATGAGAATTGAAGTGTGCCTCTATTTATTTGTTTTTAATAAGCAATTCACTGGGTTAAACAAATACTGTTACAACACAAAAATGATACATTTTAAAGCAACAAGTTTTATAACAACTTCATAATCAAAAGACAAGTTTATCTTTTTTCTTTTCTCTTGCATTTCCTTAATTTAAAAAAAAAAATCAAACAGACATACTTTTCATTGAGCAGCTTTGCTGCCTCTTGCTACCCTGTTCAAAGAACCCTCTCTCGCGCTTTTTATTATTTGCAAATGCAAAGGCTTGCCAGTAATAAATAATACTATAAAATGTTTTGCAAGTACACAAAAAAAAAAGATTGAGAAACAACAACAAGGGTAAATGTACAAGGTTTCGGGGTGATAAGGGTGGGACGATTGAGGGTGGGCAAATTGAACAAAATCTCAGATTCATACAGGACAGACAAGCATCTATACATCCATACTAGCCAGATAACAAAGTTGACTTTATTATTTGTGTGTGTGTGTGTGTGTGTATGTGTGTGTTTACAAAGTGTTCTTTTAAAACAAGCAGGCGTTGTTAATTACAGAGCACAAAGAATAATTAAGGCAGCTCAAATGTTCGCCTCAAAAAAGTTGAAACTCCTTAGAAACTGCAGTTTGCTCTCGTTATTTTACACAGACATAGTGCCTCTCACACAGAGTGCAGAAATAAGATTTTGTTGTTGCATAATTCTGGCTGTTGTCAAAGCCATCCTCTTAATACCGCCAACAGGAATGGTGGGAAAACAGGTTGTGATATTACTGACCCCTTTGTCACATACTGTATAAGATGAAAACCCACATAAGCTGCCTCTCGGTTTTTCCAGTTTTCTTGATTTTGCATCATTACAACAGAGCTGACATTGCTGAGGTGGTTGTTTTGTTTGAGTTGTGTAACACTGCTCGATGAGGGATGCACTGATTGATTGGTTTTGCTGGTATTTGAGTTGGGTTTGTATGAGTTTCCTCGTCTCCATCTTGTTACTGTGCATGTGGCCGATCTTTCACCACAGCAGTGCTCATGTTCCCTCAGTCTGATTAACAGAAGCCCTCCAAACATTTCAAACTCACTAATTTTGGTGAATGAAAAAGCCAAATGCTCTCTCTGTACACAGCCTCAGGACTGAAAGACACTTTGGCCTCTAAAACAGGCGCCTCTCATGTAAATCCTTTGAAACGCTCTTGGATTACAGTATTGCACTCAAGCTCTATGGTTTGCTATTTCAGTTCATTTTAACTCATTGAGTCCCTCATCTGTCCTGCTTTGCTCTTGTTGACAGAGCACACTTCACTTTCCTCTAGTGGACCAATGTTGCCATTTTGCTGATTCTTTTTAAGTCACTTACAAATACGGCAATTTCTTTGGGTTCATTTCCAGATTTTTGTATTTATTTACATGAAAGTGTGACCTGATCACTAGCAGCAGTTGATAATTATCTCCAACAACTGTTTGTTTTACTCCTTTCGTCCCATATTTTGTCCTTTTTCAGTATAAAAACGGCTTATTTTTAGACTTACAGCACCAAATCGGCATATCAGAATGATTTCTGAAGGATGTAACACTGAAGTGAAATTTGTGAAATACATTTTGGGCTTGATTTATCGGACCAGGTTGACTTTTTTTTTTTTTTTTTTCTTAGAATGATCTGACTACCCTGTAATGGACACACTGAATATTTCTCACTCTGAAAACTCAGGATCAAGTCATTTAGAAAGCTAAGGAAAGCCAATAAAAATGGTTGTATAGGCCGTTTATAATAGTTGACACCAGTTTTACAGTATTTACCATGAGTGCAGTGACTATCTCTTCCATGCAATACACACACACACACACACACACACACACACAGAGTGTATCTCTGCTGTTGTCAAGGACAACTTCATCTGCTATGTCCCACACACAGACACACACACGCGCGTTTTGCTGGTGTCATTGTCTTGTCTGCGTGGGACCGCAGACACTACAACAGTGTTGGGTTTCAGGGATATATCTGTACCAGCCCAGTCTGTGCTGCTCTGGTTTCAACAGCAAGGTCACACACACACACACACACACACACACACAGGGAAGTGATAAAAATCATATTTCATGTCTGTGAGATAAGCAATGGGTTTTGGGGTGGTGTGTGCAGCTTTAAGAAGAGTGAATTCTTTAAGATGTGACCTTAAATTGTCCTTCAATTTACCCTATCAATCAACATCTGAGCTTCTTTTAAGAGCAAACTATTATAGAAGCAAGTTTGAAAATGGGGAAAAATAGTATAGTTCAGAGTGAATAATTTAATCAGCCTTATTTGTTCAGGACATCTGGATATCAGTCAGAGTAATAAAAATAAAAAGGTAATCACGACTTTCTGACAATGTGACGATGTGACTATCTTTCCTTTGCAACTTTGATTTAGCTAAATTGCTATTGAGACATAATATTTTATAATTGCAACTCTGTCTTGCAATGTGATTATGGGTACATTTACACAACACCGATGTAGGCCTACTAAAAACGGAAACGATCTTACATTTGCGTTTTTGCATACAGATGACAGCGTTGTCAAAACGATCTCCATGCACATGGAACCGAGAAAATGACTA